AGGGACAGACACAGAATTGTTACTCAGGGACACAGAATTGTTACTGAGGGCCACAGAACCGTTACTTAGGGCCACAGAATTGTTACTCAGGGACAGACACAGAATTGTTACTGAGGGCCACAGAATTGTTACTTAGGGCCACAGAAACGTTACTCAGGGACACAGAAATTGTTACTGAGGGCCACACAGAATTGTTACTTAGGGCCACAGAAACGTTACTTAGGGCCACAGAATTGTTACTCAGGGACAGACACAGAATTGTTACTGAGGGACCACAGAATTGTTACTTAGGGCCACAGAACTGTTACTTAGGGCCACAGAATTGTTACTGAGGGACACAGAATTGTTACTGAGGGCCACAGAACTGTTACTTAGGGCCACAGAATTGTTACTCAGGGACACAGAATTGTTACTGAGGGACACAGAACCGTTACTTAGGGCCACAGAATTGTTACTTAGGGGACACACAGAATTGTTACTGAGGGACACAGAATTGTTACTGAGGGCCACAGAACCGTTACTTAGGGCCACAGAATTGTTACTCAGGGACAGACACAGAATTGTTACTCAGGGACACAGAATTTACTGAGGGCCACAGAACCGTTACTTAGGGCCACAGAAACGTTACTCAGGGACACAGAATTGTTACTGAGGGCCACAGAACCGTTACTTAGGGCCACAGAATTGTTACTCAGGGACAGACACAGAATTGTTACTCAGGGACACAGAATTGTTACTGAGGGCCACAGAACCGACCGTTACTTAGGGCCACAGAATTGTTACTCAGGGACACAGAATTGTTACTGAGGGCCACAGAACCGTTACTTAGGGCCACAGAATTGTTACTCAGGGACAGACACAGAATTGTTACTGAGGGCCACAGAATTGTTACTGAGGGCCACAGAACCGTTACTTAGGGCCACAGAAACGTTGTTACTCAGGGACAGACACAGAATTGTTACTCAGGGCCACAGAACAGTTGTTACTTAGGGCCACAGAATTGTTACTGAGGGACACAGAATTTTACTGAGGGACACAGAACCGTTGTTACTGGGGGACACAGAATTGTTACTCAGGGACAGACACAGAATTGTTACTCAGGACACAGAATTGTTACTGAGGGCCACAGAACCACGTTACTTAGGGCCACAGAAACGTTACTCAGGGACACAGAATTGTTACTCAGGGACAGACACAGAATTGTTACTGAGGGACACACAGAATTGTTACTTAGGGACACAGAATTGTTACTGAGGGACACAGAATTGTTACTGAGGGCCACAGAACTGTTACTTAGGGCCACAGAATTGTTACTTAGGGCCACAGAAACGTTACTCAGGGACACAGAATTGTTACTGAGGGCCACAGAACCGTTACTTAGGGCCACAGAATTGTTACTCAGGGACAGACACAGAATTGTTACTCAGGGACACAGAATTGTTACTGAGGGCCACAGAAACGTTACTTAGGGCCACAGAATTGTTACTCAGGGACAGACACAGAATTGTTACTCAGGGACAGACACAGAATTGTTACTGAGGGCCACAGATTGTTACTGAGGGACACAGAATTGTTACTGAGGGGGACACAGAATTGTTACTGAGGGACACAGAATTGTTACTGAGGGACACAGAATTGTTACTAGGGACAGACACAGAATTGTTACTCAGGGACACAGAATTGTTACTGAGGGACACAGAATTGTTACTCAGGGACCACAGAATTGTTACTCAGGGACAGACACAGAATTGTTACTGAGGGCCACAGAAATGTTACTGGGGACAGAAACAGAGGGGCCACAGAAACCGTTACTTAGGGACACAGAATTGTTACTCAGGGACAGACACAGAATTGTTACTGAGGGACCACAGAATTGTTACTGAGGGGCCACAGAATTGTTACTGAGGGACACACAGAATTGTTACTCAGGGACACAGAATTGTTACTGAGGGCCACAGAACTTGTTACTTAGGGCCACAGAATTGTTACTCAGGGACACAGAATTGTTACTGAGGGCCACAGAACCGTTACTTAGGGCCACAGAATTGTTACTCAGGGACAGACACAGAATTGTTACTGAGGGCCACAGAATTGTTACTTAGGGCCACAGAAACGTTACTCAGGGACACAGAATTGTTACTGAGGGCCACAGACCGTTACTTAGGGCCACAGAATTGTTACTCTCAGGACAGACACAGAATTGTTACACAGAATTGTTACTGAGGGCCACAGAATTGTTACTTAGGGCCACAGAACGTTACTCAGGGACACAGAATTGTTACTGAGGGCCACAGAACCGTTTACTTAGGGCCACAGAATTGTTACTCAGGGACAGACACAGAATTGTTACTGAGGGACACAGAATTGTTACTGAGGGCCACAGAACCGTTACTTAGGGCCACAGAATTGTTACTCAGGGACAGACACAGAATTGTTTACTCAGGGACACAGAATTGTTACTGAGGGCCACAGAACCGTTACTTAGGGCCACAGAAACGTTTACTCAGGGACACAGAATTGTTACTGAGGGCCACAGAACCGTTACTTAGGGCCACAGAATTGTTACTCAGGGACAGACACAGAATTGTTACTCAGGGACACAGAATTGTTACTGAGGGCCCACAGAACCGTTACTTAGGGCCACAGAATTGTTACTCAGGGACAGACACAGAATTGTTACTGAGGGACAGACACAGAATTGTTACTCAGGGCCACAGAATTGTTACTCAGGGACACAGAATTGTTACTGAGGGACACAGAATTGTTACTGAGGGACACAGAATTGTTACTCAGGGACAGACAGAAATTGTACTCAGGGACAGACAGAAATTTTACTCAGGGACACAGAATTGTTACTGAGGCCACAGAACGTTACTTAGGGACACAGAATTGTTACTCAGGGACAGACACAGAATTGTTACTGAGGGACTGAGGGACACAGAATTGTTACTACTGAGGGACACAGAATTGTTACTGAGGGACACAGAATTGTTTACTGAGGGCCACAGAACTTTTACTTAGGGCCACAGAATTGTTACTCAGGGCCACAGAAACGTTACTCAGGGACACAGAATTGTTTACTCAGGGACACAGAAAAACGTTTAATTAGGGCCAGAATGTTACTCATGGGACAGACAGGAATTGTTACAGAGGAGACACAGATTTAGGAGGGTCCAGCAGACGTGCCAGCAGAATTTTACTCCAGGGCCAGCAGAAACTATACTCAGCACCAGAGATTGTAGTGCTCCCGAGGGCATCCATACAGAGGACCTTAACAAGGGCCACAGGAACGGGGGGGAGACACTCCTCTTCACACAGCCAGTGCGAGGGACATTAGTTTTTGAATAGGGCTCGGTAGCCAGGCAGAGACAGGTTTGTCTCCTGACCCAGGGACGCAGCAGGGGGCGGTATGGCGGAGACCCTAATTGATGGGATGATGAGGCTGATCGCACTTGGCAGCTCGTCTCATGGCTATTGCTGCCATCAGGGGCCAGGAGTTCTTGGGCAGCTGTACGAGCAAAAACATCGGTGGCTGTCTCCATCGCCACACTCTGCCATGTGCCACTTTCAGGTCTCCTCACACACTGCTGGTGTTACTCATTTTTGTCATAGGGTGCAGAGATTACGGGCCTCCCATAGCTGCTGCCAGGCCACCTAATCTGCCATGGGCCCCTATACCGCCTCCTCATGCTGCTGCCAGGGGTCCAGAGAGTCTCTCATGGGTCCCAGTACGGCCTCCCATTGCTGCTTGTCTCCATCGCCACACTCTGCCATGTGCCACTTTCAGGTCTCCTCACACACTGCTGGTGTGTTTCCATTTTTTGACATAGGGTGCTGGCAGATTACGGGCCTCCCATAGCTGCTGCCAGGCCCTAATCTGCCATGGGCCCCTATACCGCCTCCTCATCTGCTGCTGCAAGTCCAGAGTCTTACTCATGGGTCCCTGTACGGCCTCCCATTGCTGCTGTCTCCATCGCCACACTCTGTGCCACTGCCACTTTCAGGTCTCCTCACACACTGCTGGTGTGTTCCATTTTTTGACATAGGGTGCTGGCAGATTACGGGCCTCCCATAGCTGCTGCCAGGCCCCTAATCTGCCATGGGCCCCTATATACCGCCTCCTCATGCTGCTGCCAGGTCCAGAGTCCTCATGGGTCCCTGTACGGCCTCCCATTGCTGCTGTCTCCATCGCCACACTCTGCCATGTGCCACTTTCAGGGCCTCCTCACACACTGCTGGTGTGTTTGTTAATTTTTTGACATAGGGTGCTGGCAGATTACGGGCCTCCCATAGCTGCTGCCAGGAGCCCCTAGAATGTCTGCCATGGCTGCCAAATTGTTCACAGGTCCCCCTATACGGCCTCCCATTGCTGCTGTCTCCATCCCACACACTCTGCCATGTGCCACTTTCAGGTCTCCTCACACACTGCTGGTGTGTTCAATTTTTTGACATAGGGTGCTGGCAGATTACGGGCCTCCCATAGCTGCTGCCAGGCCCCTAATCTGCCATGGGCCCCTATACCGCCTCCTCATGCTGCTGCCAGACAGAGTCTCTCATGGGTCCCTGTACATGCCTCCCATTGCTGCTGTCTCCATCGCCACACTCTGCCATGTGCCACTTTCAGGTCTCCTCACACACTGCTGGTGTGTGTTCATTTTTTTTGACATAGGGTGCTGGCAGATTACGGGCCTCCCATAGCTGCTGCCAGGCCCCTAATCTGCCATGGGCCCCTATATACCGCCTCCTCATGCTGCTGCCAAGTCCAGAGTCCCCTCATGGGTCCTGTACGGCCTCCCATTGCTGCTGTCTCCATCGCCACACTCTGCCATGTGCCACTTTTCAGGTCTCCTCACACACTGCTGGTGTGTTGAATTTTTTGACATAGGGTGCTGGCAGATTACGGGCCTCCCATAGCTGCTGCCAGGCCCCTAATCTGCCATGGGCCCCTATACCGCCTCCTCATGCTGCTGCCAGGTCCACAGTCTCTCCATCACACTGCCATGTGCCACTTTCAGGTCTCCTCACACTGCTGGTGTGTTCCATTTTTTGACATAGGGTGCTGGCAGATTACGGGCCTCCCATAGCTGCTGCCAGCCAGGCCCCTAATCTGCCATGGGCCCCTATATACCGCCTCCTCATGCTGCTGCCAAGTCCAGAGTCTCTCATGGGTCCCTGTACGGCCTCCCATTGCTGCTGTCTCCATCGCCACACTCTGCCATGTGCCACTTTCAGGTCTCCTCACACACTGCTGGTGTGTTTGAATTTTTTGACATAGGGTGCTGGCAGATTACGGGCCTCCCATAGCTGCTGCCAGGCCCCTAATCTGCCATGGGCCCCTATACCTGCCAGCCTCCTCATGCTGCTGCCAAGGTCCACAGTCCCTGTACGGCTCATGCCATGTCCATCCCTCTGCCATTGCCACTTTCAGGTCTCCTCACACACTGCTGGTGTGTTGAATTTTTTGACATAGGGTGCTGGCAGATTACGGGCCTCCCATAGCTGCTGCCAGGCCCCTAATCTGCCATGGGCCCCTATATACCATCCACCTCCTCATGCTGCTGCCAAAGTCCAGAGTCTCTCATGGGTCCCTGTATGGCCTCCCATTGCTGCTGTCTCCATCGCCACACTCTGCCATGTGCCACTTTCAGGTCTCCTCACACTGCTGGTGTGGTTCAATTTTTTTTGACATAGGTGCTGGCAGATTACGGGCCTCCCATAGCTGCTGCCAGCCCCTAGGCCATGGGCCCCTATAATCTGCCATCATGGCCCCTATACCTGCCTCCCATTGCTGCTGTCTCCAGGTCGCCACAGTCTCTGCCATGTGCCACTTTCAGGTCTCCTCACACACACTGCTGGTGTTTCCATTTTTTGACATAGGGTGCTGGCAGATTACGGGCCTCCATAGCTGCTGCCAGGCCCCTAATCTGCCATGGGCCCCTATAAGACCGCCTCCTCATGCTGCTGCCAAGTCCAGAGTCTCTCATGGGTCCCTGTACGGCCTCCCATTGCTGCTGTCTCCATCGCCACACTCTGCCATGTGCCACTTTCAGGTCTCCTCACACACTGCTGGTGGTGTTGAATTATTTTTTGACATAGGGTGCTGGCAGATTACGGGCCTCCCATAGCTGCTGCCAGGCCCCTAATCTGCCATGGGCCCCTATATACCGCCTCCTCATGCAGCTGCCAGGTCATGGGTCACAGTGCTCTGGATGAAACGTCTCATGCCACAAAATCGTCTCTGCCACTTTCAGGTCTCCTCACACTGCTGGTGTGTTGAATTTTTTGACATAGGGTGCTGGCAGATTACGGGCCTCCCATAGCTGCTGCCAGGCCCCTAATCTGCCATGGGCCCCCTATATACCGCCTCCTCATGCTGCTGCCAAGTCCAGAGTCTCTCATGGGTCCCTGTACGGCCTCCCATTGCTGCTGTCTCCATCGCCACACTCTGCCATGTGCCACTTTCAGGTCTCCTCACACACTGCTGGTGTGTTGAATTTTTTTTGACATAGGGTGCTGGCAGATTACGGGCCTCCCATAGCTGCTGCCAGGCCCCCTAATCTGCCATGGGCCCCTATACCGCCTCCTCATGCTGCTGCCAAGGTCCACAGTCTCTCATGGCCACGGTGGAGAGTCTCCGTTTGTGATTGTGCTGTCCATCGCCACACACTCTGACTAAATCATGTGCCAAACTTCAGGTCTCCTCACACTGCTGGTGTGTTCAATTTTTTGTCATAGGTGCTGGCAGATTACGGGCCTCCCATAGCTGCTGCCAGGCCCCTAATCTGCCATGGGCCCCAAACATAAACCGCCTCCTCATGCTGCTGCCAAGTCCAGAGTCTGTCATGGTCCCTGTACGGCCTCCCATTGCTGCTGTCTCTCATCGCCACACTCTGCCATGTGCCACTTTCAGGTCTCCTCACACACTGCTGGTGTGTTGAATTTTTTGACATAGGGTGCTGGCAGATTACGGGCCCATAGCTGCTGCCAGGCCCCTAATCTGCCATGGGCCCCCATATACCGCCTAATTCTCATGCTGCTGCCAAGTCCAGAGTCTGTCATGGGTCCCTGTACGGCCTCTCCATTGCTGCTGTCTCCATCCCACACGCTGTGTGTTGAATCTGCCATGTGCCACTTTCAGGTCTCCTCACACTGCTGGTGTGTTGAATTTTTTGACATAGGGTGCTGGCAGATTACGGGCCTCCCAAGCTGCTGCCAGGCCCCTAATCTGCCTGGCAATGGGCCCCTATATCATTTTCAAGCTGCCCGCCTCCTCATGCCATGCTGCCATGCCTCCAGAGTCTGTCATAGGGTCCCTGTACGGCCTCCCATTGCTGCTGTCTCCATCGCCACAACTCTGCCATGTGCCACTTTCAGGTCTCCTCACACTGCTCGGTGTGTTGAAATTTTTTGACATAGGTGCATGGCAGATTACGGGCCCCCCACAAAGGCCATCACAGATTCCTGATAGCTGCTGCCAGGCCCCATCGTTGCAAACGATCTGCCATGGGCCCCTATACATGGACCCCTGTGGGGGCAGGAACAGGAAGAAGAGGAGAGGTAGAGGAGGACATTGGTGACACTCAGCCGGTACAGGAGTGGAGAGCGGAGACCGCCTCCTCATGGCTGCTGCCAGGTCCAGAGTCTGAAGGGATGACCATGGGTCCCTGTACGGACCTCCCATTGCTGCTGTCTCTATCATCGCCACACTCTGCCATGTGCCACTTTCAGGTCTCCTCACACACTGCTGGTGTGTTGAATTTTTGTCATAGGGTGCTGGCAGATTACGGGCCTCCCATTGCTGCTGCCAGGCCTGTAATCTGCCATGGGCCCCCGTACCGCCTTGTCACGCTGCTGCTGGGTCCACAGTGTGACATGGGTCCCTGTACCACCTCCCATTGCTCCCACTCTGCCATGTGCCACTTTCAGGTCTCCTCACACTCCTGCTGGTTTCCATTTTGTCATAGGTTGCTGGCAGATTACAGGCCTCCCATAGGTGCTGCCAGGCCCCAAATCTGCCATGGGCCCCCGTACCGCCTGGTCACGCTGCTGCTGGGTCCACAGTGTGACATGGGTCCCTGTACCGCCTCCCATTGCTCCCACTCTGCCATGTGCCACTTTGAGGTCTCCTCACACTCCTGCTGGTTTCCATTTTGCCATAGGTTGCTGTATGGCCCTCCCATTGCTGCTGCCTCCACCGCCACACTGTGGCTCCAAACACTGGTTTTGGCCCTGTGACTGGCCAAATGAGTGAAGTGTGCGGTGATTCTAAGATCGACGGCACTCATCTGCATGTCATACTGACTGACAGTATTATTTCTCTTCCCCAGCAGACTCCAAGGGCATTTAAATTAAAGGTACAGTGTTCTGCACTAATATTAAGTCTCTCTGAAGCCTAGAAACACCCTTTTTTAAGTTAAATTCACAGCGAATATATTCGACTCGAATCAAATATTGTCCACGAATTCGCCGAATCAGTCGAATCGAATTTTTGAATACTTCGCTCATCTCTAATCCAAATGATTGAACTGGGACAAATCATACAGTTGGGCCTAATGTCACAATTTTAGATTTTGTAGTTTTGGGATATAGGATTTAGCCCATTCCGGGATTGCTTAAAGGATAAGTTCACCTTTTTGGACAAAAATATTAAAATGCACATTTGTTTGCAGGTAAAAAATGTGCATTTGTTATTTTTGTCAAAAGGAGCCTGGAAGGCATTGCACCAGTGATCAGTAGATCGCTGATGCCATGCAGGTCTCTTGAAGATCTGTATGGGATGTACGGTCAAGCAGATAGACTGACAGGTAGCTTCAATAAACTACTACGGTGCTCCACAGCGCCATGGTAGTTCATCGATAACTACAAGCCGACAGCCGCTAAGGCTGTTGAGACTTGTAGGCACTCATTCACAGAACTCTGTAAATGAGTGACACAGTTGTGTGGGCGGAGCCCCGCACGGCCGCGCTGTTTTTAAATCTCAGAGGCAGTACGGGGAGACTTCTCCCTGTATTATCTGTCAGAAGGAGGGGGTTGCCGGGCATGGCTGCAGCTATGGGAACATGTTACATGTTCCACCCTAAAAACGGGTGGAACATGTAACATGTTCCAAAGGTGAACTTATCCTTGAAACATTGAAAACACAGTAATTATTTCCACATGAAAAGGATAGAAAGTTATTATATATTTATGTAAATTATTACATTATTTTAGCACAGCCTATAAGTAATCAGCGTTGAATTATTTATTCAATAAATACCATTTTAAAGGCAAGTTCAGTTTGAACACATAAGTTATCTTGGATTGTTTGCCAAATGAATTTCTTTCTAGTTTCTGTTGGGCCAGTGACCATTTTTACATAGCCAATTGTTCCACGGCAATGGAAATAATAACAGGACAATTATAGCTATACATGACCCTGGGGAATAAACAAACATAACAAAAAACAAATAGTTCAAGATAAGAGTAGCAATGAGTAATTAAAAAATATTTCCTCAAATTCCAGATTTACGTCATGTTTACATCAATAAAAATATAACAAATAATCCCAAAATACCGCATTTGAAGTTTGGCGAGGCAAATTCACAAAGCTGAGATCTGTGAGGAATTAAAGAGAGCTATATATAGAAATGATGTGTAAGAATGAAAATATGCAAAGAGAACCCGGAATCCGGTCATGTCTTGTTGAGTGATCTTTTCAGCACCCCCCATAGTGTGCTGATTTATTAAATTTAAATCTGAGCCTTTTTGAAAAACTGAAAAATAACCCCAAGCTTGTGTGAAGTCTGTCCTCTTGTATTACCTGGGGGCCTTAAAATGGTAGTAAAGCCAAACACTAACTATTCTAAAAAATCCCCCCGCGCTACGTATCCTGCATACCCTGTGTAAAAAAAAAGATCTGTAACAAAACAAACAGAAGGCACACCAGACTAGTGCATTGTCCTAGGGATACTTTATTGTATAAAGGTTAAAACCATACTCACACACAGTGAAGATGTGATACAACATGTCAAGCCACTTTCTTGTGGCACGGTGAATAGTGGGACCCAGAGTAATTCAACACCAAGAATACGCCATCCAAGATCTAAAAAAGGCTTACGCTCTTCGAGAGTATGCCTTCTTCATCAGAGCCTTAGAGGTGGTGTAATCCGTTTTCTGGAACCCGGACAGCATTTTCTTGGTGTTGGATCATTCTGGGTCCCAATATTCACTGTGCCACGAGATGGTGGCTTGACATGCTGTACATCTTCACTGTGAGTATGGTTTTAACCTTTATATAATAAAGCATCTCCCAGAGTACTGTGAATCCAACATGTGTGATGATGGCCCCACTATTGAAATGAGTAAACAATATTATGTTGGGTTCACAGGAGGACCGCTGCTAGGGACAATTCTCAAACATAAAGAAGGCTAAGTAGAATGTAGAATTTTTTTGGAAAATTTTGTATTTATTTATTTCGGGTACATATATAGCACCATCAATTTACACAGCAGTCTGCATATGTAATATACATTCACATCAGTCCCAGCCCTCATGGAGCTTACAATCTAAGATCCCTGTCTCACATTCATGCATGCTAGTGCAAATCTAGACAGGAACCAATTAACTTACCAAAGTACAAAAACATAAAAAACTCTATAGTACAAATAGAGAGAGTGATTAGGTCCCAAGCAAGAAGCCATAGTCTCTGTATGGTACATCCCTGTGTATAATCCACTTCTATAATGACTGCAGCTCTTCTAACAAGGTATTGGATGTCTCTGTGCACTAAAACAATAAACAAATAGAAGGCGCCTCCATCTAAGTGTATCAATTAAATTAAATACAAGTAAAGGGAAGGGTTAAAATGCACTCAAAAGGATGAGAGTAAATGGGCATATCATCAGTGCTTACCGAGGCTTGCCAGCATATAAGCACTGATGATATGTCCATTTACTCTCATTGTTGTGAGTGCATTTTAACCCTTCCCTTTACTTGTTTTTAATTAAATTGATAAACTTACAGCGGGGATCGAAAGTTTGGGCACCCCAGCTAAAAATTTGTATTAATGTGCATAAAGAAGCCAAGGAAAGATGGAAAAATCTCCAAAAGGCATCAAATTACAGATTAGACATTCTTATAATATGTCAACAAAAGTTAGATTTTATTTCCATCATTTACACTTTCAAAATAACAGAAAACAAAAAAATGGCGTCTGCAAAAGTTTGGGCACCCTGTAGAGTTAATATCTTGTACTGCCCCCTTTGGCAAGTATCACAGCTTGTAAACGCTTTTTGTAGCCAGCCAAGA